TTTTAAAAAAATTGTTGTCTAAAAATTGTAAAAAAAAAAAAAAAAAAAAAAAAAAAAAAAGGTAAATTATGCTTATAAAAGTAATACCTCTAAAAGCAGGTCAAATGTATGTCAATTTGCTCTCATACATCTTTAAAAACTTATTACGGAATCAACAGGTCCATAGCTGAAAAGGCAGACAAGGTGCAGAACCTAAAATGGTCTAGAAAAAAACCTCTACGAGGGAATAGTACAAGAAGTGCTGTGACATCTCTACATTTCTGATGTAAATATTTGACACTCTCTTCCACAGTGCACTCTTGGGGAGCAATTTGTAGAAGGATTGAAAGCTAATTGTTTTATCTCTGGGTTTAATGATTGACCCTGGCTGTTACTGACAGCCAGCAGTTCCAGCACCAGAAGGGGCCAGGACCAGCAAAAATCTGCTGGGTCTCAGTGCCATTTTAGAAAGGTGCTGGGACAAACCGCCATTGCCATTCTACAGTTTTAAAACAGCACCGAAACTCAAGTGGTTAACGAAGCTTCAATTCTTCCATAAATCATAAGGAAAAGTTATGATTTCCATACCCGGCATTTGATGGTCTTCCCAGGAGTGTATCTCTTCTCTGGATGCTTCAAGGTGACATCTGCCATGTGGAGATTTGGTACGAGACCACTAATGCGTTTGGTGATATTCACGGTTATTCCTTCAGTATCGATCTTGTTAACAGTTCCCTGTACAACAACACATTCATTTAGCATTAGCAGTTAACATAAAGACGCTTCACTAATTACACTGAGCAGAGTTGAATTCAACATTGTATTAATGCACGGTGTATAAAATGATGAACCAGCAACTCCAGTTCAGGTGGTGGCTTTCTTCAGTAGCTAGAACACTGGACTACGACACTCAGGTAGCAAATCAAATAAGTCTATTAATGTTCATGTTGCATAGCAAAATACACTTGGTGTCGCTCTGAGTGTATTTTGCTATGCAACATGTACGTTAATAAGGAGACGTACTTGATTTGCTACTGGAGTGTCGGTATCTATTCTTCTATCTGTACATCAAGGTGGTAGCCATCCGTCGACAACCGCGCACCAACTTCTGACTGATGGAACAATGTTCTATGTGCGATAGCTATATGGACTGTTTCATCAGTAGCTGCCACCTTGGGGAAGCAGAACGAGGCAAAAAAAAAAAAGTTTGGTTTTGTACATAATAAAAACAAAACCAGTCACACGTGGGACTTATGCAACAGTCAGACTTTTCAGTCTCATCATCCTATGCTTTACCCATGAAGGGCAAAGTTTTCTCAACTTCACAAAGTTTTTAACTGACCCCACACACCCCCATAAGTGAAGTGTGTAAATTAAGAAAGTATCATGTAGTTAGAGAAGAATACCAAAAAACATCTCGGTGAAGAATTTAGTATGTTTACTGTGTCAGGGCTGCCCAATATTACAAGGAGTAGACAATGATGAAAAGGGGGCAATGTTCCTTCACAGACACAGCAACCATTTACATACACAACATCATCATGTCACTGTCTCTAGATGGCACCGGAAATTTATATCATGATTTTATTTGTTGTGCGGAGTGGATTTACAGAGTTCTTCTCCACAGTTATTCCTCTGAAGGAGAACGTTATGGAACAGTCAGCTATTTGGACTTGTTTCCTTGTTAGCATAGCAGATTCCTCATTATGAATTAAAATAAATCGCAGCGCAGCATGAATATTGTCTTCACCTCTAGAAGTTGTCCAGCATGTATGTCCTCATGCTTCCAAAAAGGTTCTTCAATGACTCTCCTAGAAATATAAAGACAAGAAAGAAAGTCAAGATGAAAAGCAGAGTTCCAATCAGAAAGTGAAGCTTCTAGAGTCCATGAACTACCAACTGCATGATAGAAGTTATGTATTAAATCTGATCTCTTATGACTTATGTGGCAAGAGCTCTGTACCCTATAACCCAGGCCAACCCACTTATCACATTACACCGCTCATCCTTAGCCACAATATGGAGACTTTCTGCTTAGGCTGGATTCCTTGAGAAATGCAAGTATCGTGTTGACATTCCAACTTACAAACAACCACCCATAACAGACAAGAAACTTGTCCCAAGAGAAATATATAATATGTCATAGCTGGCCATTGTCCGAAATCGCTGGTTGCCATGCAGATCCAACCACAGGATCAACTTAACAGCTAGGCAATTAGCATTTCCATAAGAAGAGTCACCAATGGCAGCCTTCGTATTTCTTTCAACACAGGTTTACTTGGCGTATCAGTTTTTGATGGACTGGCGTGAGACAGGATTAGTTTTCATGACATCCAAAGAAAAATGTGAAATGACTTACTCCTTTAAAGAAAGCACAATTGTCTCATCCATGGGACTAAACCCCGTTACTCGTCCAGTGTGGACTGTTCCTTCTTTATACTTATTTAGATTACTTGCGTCCTTTGAAAGCAGATGGAATTTCTGATAAATAAAAAGAGAAAGATTAAGTAAAAGATTACATGAAAGAGTACTTACTTTGCCCAAAAGCTCAACTCCAGCCAAAACATTTTATATCGTTTTGGATAGAGCGGGGAACCGTCTGTCAGTTTTTTGTTGTTGTCCTCTGTGTCTTTACTTGGGAGATCTCACCTCAATTTTGAAGAAGTGAGAGGATAAAAATACAGTTGGAACACAGAAAACTTTTTTGTAGCATTTGTGGCAATGGTTTAGGTACTGACTGTAGATCTGTGCCCAGGAGACTGTCTGTGTTTCCAGATTAACAGCTACAGCAAGGTATGACAGATGAGCTGGCACAGGGGTGTGGAATTCCTATGCCCGATGTCTGGGACATGCAGTTCCGGCTGGGTAGTTTTGGCAAGCTGGGCTAAATGTAGAGGGGAGCTGTTTTGTACAGGTGATCTTGAACGGCTGTACAGCCGCCTAAGATCGCTTGTAAGCAGCCCTATTGTCACTCCCTCGCTCCCGCCTTCATGGTTCGTTCTTCCCCGAACACTGCCTCTCTGCCCCCCACCTCTGCTGTGGTTTTTGTGGGTTCCCCTGCTTTCTGGGGTACCCGGGGCCACAGCAAATTACATCACGATGGGGAGCAGAGTGGAGAAAAAAAATGTATTCAAAAACAAAAAAACAAATAAAAATTCAATAAAAAAGTGATAAAGAAAAAAATAAAAAAATAATAAATTAAATGAAAATTAAAAATAAAGTAAATAAGATAAAATAAAAATTTGGCAAAGTAATTTTTTTTTTTACAAAATTAAAACCAACCCTGTTGCCCCCACCACCTGCATGCGAATAAACGCATGCATAGGGCATTGTATGTTTGAGCCGAGTGGTGCCCCATCTCACTGTGTGCCATATTGTGGTGGCTGGGCAACAACGCTCTCCAATACTCACAATGTGCATTAGGGCCAGGTTCAAACCACGCAGCAATCATGCACCAAACCACAAGGATGGCATGGCAGTCAGCCATGAAAAAGCCAGAAAGCCACAAGGATGGCATGGGTCACGGACTCGCACACCACTGGCAATCGCGCCATTATTTTCTAATGGCATCCCAGTTGCATCACGTGGTTTCCCGTCACGACACCGCCCTTGCAATTGCGCATGATCGCGGTTGAAAAAACGCAGTGTGTGTCACAAAAAAAAGGTACCTTTTTCAGCAATTGTCACGCAGATGTAACCCCATGGCAATCAATGGGGACGCGCGGCAACCACTGTGTGCAACCGCATGTCCCAATATCGCCCAAGTCTGCATCAGCTCTAAAAGGGTAAATTCACTTTCCCAAGTAATATGGGAATATGGAATTACCTGCACAAATCTGGCTCCCTCCCTGCTATACTTACCTTTTGGTGAGCGGTCCTTCATGTCCGCCAGTACTATCTGTACCCCATACTGCCATCCAGTGCAGCCCTCTGCCATGTATTCTGAATTTCACTCGCAAATTGCAAGCACTTGTTGGTCAGCGCGGTCAGACGTGTTGCCAATAAGAATAGTATTTTTTAAAACAATTTCCACACCTCTGGCTGGCAGGTTATATAAACAAACCAATGTGATCACTATGATTGACAGTCATAATGATTTCTTGAGCAATCAGGAATTACATCAGGAACCAAAGTGATTCCCAGATTGCAGGTGAGAACTGGTTAAAGCATTCATGAACACTTTCTTATAGCGATTCATCATCAGGTGTAAAATGTTTGTTCTTTATATGATAAGATACCACACATAAGGGGGACTTTTGTGAGTACTAAAGTGCATTTATTGCAAAATAAAAAACATTTCTCCATAAAAAACAAAAAAAACTTACAGGTGCGAAAGCCGTTGTTTCCTCATCCAGCTCAAACACAGCTCCTGCATTCTTATACAATGTTTTTACTGTACAATTCTCATGAACAGTGCCGTTCCAGTTACTGGAAAGCTGCTTTATCAGGTTCCCTGGCTGCAGGAAAGTCTTGCGTAAGGTCAGTCTTATGGTCTTGGAAGTTTTGTCAATCCACAGGATGCAAGCTTTAACCTGGATAAGAGGAGTACATAAAATATAATTCCACTATTATCTTGTTACCATTTACAAGCTGTAATGAAAAAAAAAACAACACTATGTCATGGAAGATATCAACCAGTCTACACACTATAAGGCTGATTTCACACATTGAGTTTTTACCGGATGTGTTTTACACTGAAATCAAAGGAAATCTTAAACAGCATATCCACATACATCAACGGGAGTTACCTTGCATTTTAATAAATGATGCAATGCACTTTGCATTGCACATCAACATATGTCATGGTGCGCGTTGACAAACATTTTGATGCTTTTCCATTGATTTAAAAGGAAAATGCATCTGGCAAAAATGAAACGAATGAAACAATGTGAATTCAGCCTAAAGTAAAAGACGGTGTAAGATTTCAACGAGCTGAATGGATCAGTGCAAACAATGCATTGGTAATGTGCAAAGCTTTTCCTTTGATGGTTCTCCTCACATATCATAATACCATGCAACACTACACAATGTACCATAGATATGCTAATATGCAGACATATGTAAACACTGGGCTTCCATTCCCACATCTGATTTATATGTATGCTGTAGTAGGACAGGCTAATGCAGTGCCAAAACCTCGGGAAGGGGTGCCCTATTTTCATGCCATACAACTCTTTTTTTCATATACTCACAGCAATACACTACACAACACTCAGGATACTTACTATCTGATCTTTCTGGTATAAGTTTACTTTTTTGGGTTCCAAATGCAAGAAATCCACTAATCCCGTGTAGGATGACAAGAAGGATACAGTGATGTGGTCATGGAAGATCTGTAATCAGAATGGACAATTGTGACCTTCATTGTAGGGACATAATGTTTATTTGTAACAAAGCACAGGGAGGTCTGTGAATCCTACCTTTTGAATCTCAGCTTTCACCACTAAGCCCGGAAGCAGGTTATTCAAAGTCCACTTCTGTTCATCTGTGGCAATGGCTGCAGCCACTTCGGACTGGCTGGCTGACAGACGCAAGACTCTTCCACCATTCTTCACCTGATCAATCACACAGTCTAGATATTGCCCTACTGTCAGTGCAGTTCCTGGAAGAATAAAAAGGGACCAATGTAAATTACACAAAGATGTCATCATTGGACTGTGTGGTAGCTAGAGTGAAACAAATTCCACCAACTTGTTCAAACAGGTAAGTTTGAGATTTGGGTTAATATTGTTATATTCATTAACTATCATTCACAATGCTCAATTCCCTAAGCGATAAAGATTTTTTTTTGCCATAGCAATCATTGTGTCAAAAAAAAACTATAGCCAACAAGAGCTTTAGAAAACAGTGACTGAAGGCAAAACAAAAAAGAGAAGGTATTAGAGCTCAGGTGGCAGCAGGCAGTCAAATATAAAACATGAGGGTGTGGCTGCTAAATTAAACTGAAACTGCTATAATGAACACGCATGCAGTCTATTTATTCTGAGCTTATTGCTCAGGTTTACTTAGGAAAAACACAGAAGAATACAATGCTGAAAATATAATTAACAATGACTTTCTGTTAGTGTCGAGCCTCCTACATACTACCAATAGATTCCTGGAATTATACAATCTAAGGGCTACCATGCATGTTACAAATTTGACCATACACTCTTTGTGCAATCAGCTTTAAATTGACCAAAATGTTGTAATATGAAGACCTACGTAATCTATTCAATCAATCTGTATGGAATCAGGCAGCCCCTTGCACTACATTGTTGTTGATAGGTCTAAAGAAGATAGCCAGATAAAAGTCACAGAAAAAAAAAATGTGTATTTTGTCGATTAAAACCCATTCAACCCTTTGAAGTAAAAAAAAAAAACAACCACATATGAGAAGTCCCCGTTCTTGTACTCTTATGCTTATCTCCTACCTTCCCTTTATTCCAGCATCTGTCTCAAATCTTCAGCATTCAACACTTCCAGGAATGATGGATGTCTGTGCCCTCCACTGTATGTCCTACTTTCATCCTTCTATCCAAAAATCACTACAGGACTTAGCAGTGACGTAGGGGTCAGAGGATGACATCACAGAATGCGGAGGGGGGCACTGTCATCCAACACTTCAGAAGTGTTGAATACCAAAGACAGAGAAAGAGGTTGCAGCACTAGAACAGAGGTAGGGTAGGAGACATGACCCAAAAAGGTAAGTTACCTACTTCTACTGCAGGTAACCTTTCATCTGTATTTTATGTTAATCTGACAGGTTGCTTTAATTAGAACAGATGTCATTTAAATGTAATAGCTTTAGATTTTGATAAAGTGGGAGAAGGGGTTTAGAGCCTCTGTCAGATGTTTATTGATATATGCATACCGCTTGAGGAGATATAGCCTCACTCCCCATCCCTCCCTGTGGCAAGCTGTAGAAATTTAGAAGAAACCTTGCAGGGTATGGTGGACATCTAGGCACCTTTAATGTACAGAGCAGGCAAATGGAATAACATGCATTTAATGTACAATTAAAGCAACTGCAGCAATGCAAAACATTCACCTACTTCAACAACATGTGCAAATATATTATAAACAACTTAAAATTTTGGCACACTGTGTAGAAATGGCTCACCTTTGGTTCTCTGGTTTATAAAAACTTCAGCCTTCTTTAGGGGTAGGAAAGCTTTAGTACCACTAATGCCCAAATCCATGAGATAACCATGGTCCTCCACGCTGGACACAAGACCTGTGAGATACTGGAGAAACAGAACACAGTTCACACGAAAACCATACAAGAACATATGCATTCCTACATGATGCCATCTAAACACCACAGGTTTTTTTTTTTTGTAGGCCAGGCTTATTTTTTGCCTCTTTAGGTTACATTTTGGATGCATAAAGGGATAAAAACTTGATTATATATCCTACAGGGACTGCTCCAATCAGATTCTACCTTTCATAGCCATAACTCTTAACACCTTTTATTAAAACTTATTTTACAGCCGTGTCCCCCATAAGAGAGATGTAAAATAATTTCCTGTACCAGAGGCGCAACAGGAACTAAAACACATTTCACCCAAGTAAGATGAAAATGAATTTGACAATGGTCATTGGAACAGGTATCCACAGAGGAAGCAAGAACCCTGTATTTCCCTTTACAAGATATAATAAATCAAAGAAGAGAAAAGGATGCATCTTATGCTGGCCATACAACCTCGTTCAACCCACAGGCTAAACAAAAAAATAGGAGCAGATTCCTCCATCAACGCTACAAGCGCATTGGGGATTGAGGAAACCACTGTTTCTTTTGTATTCTGACAGCAGCCGACATCCACTGCCAGAATACCCAAACAGAGCAGGCAGCTCATTGGCTGGCAGCTCTGTTAAAACAAAGTTTTTTCCCGACCGCCTCCTTCGACCAAGGAACGAAAGGGCGTCGACATTGGCACCCACTGTGTGAATTTCATCCGGTTCTTGAGGAATTCGCACAGTGTATAGCCACCTTTACAAATAGAAAGCATTACCAAAATAAATAAAAACACATGCACGAGTTTCTAACCCTTCCCTTCTGCTGCAACCATAATATCTCTTAATAATTATTCCACTGACAAGTTCATTTAGATCACTTATCCTCCCAATTATAATGTTTGTTGAACAAATGAACCAATTGACTATGTCCGTATGCTTACATATTCAGTTGCACCCACAACAGTTACAGTTTGCCTTTTTCTCTTACTGAGCAGATCTACCTAATAAAGTGATTCAGATCCTATTATGGATGTTCAAATATTTTTTTTATTTTTTAACCTTCTATTCTTTTAAACAGAGAATACTATGCAGACATACCATGCCAGTGTGCAGAGAAGATGGAACAAGATCCCCATTGATGAGTTTTGGGTTCAAGGACAATTTGATGCTGTTGAAACCGCCAGATGTGGTCTCCAAATTGCTAATGACACATCGGACCAGCATTCCCGGAGAATACAATTCAGAAAGAGGCATTAGACCCTGTTGGAGAAAAAAAACTAAATTAACATTTTGAACACAATACTTACATGATTAGGCACCATTACACGCTGTGTACAGATACATTTCATAATATAAACGTAAAGGGTATTTGAATATAAATCAATTAGCTCGGTTTGCTAGGGAAAACACTTGCCTCCAGAGGCTCCTCTTTCTCAACTTGTTTATTAAGCATTTTTGTGTAGGCCTCACAGATATTTGTTGCTTGAACAAAGCCTATGAGATTATAGGGCAAGCTTATAACCAGTTCAAAATCTTTGACTTCTTTGATGCATCCAAGAAACAGCATCCCAACGCTCAGGTCCTGTATATGGAGAAAAAGATTTGAAATTATTACAGGGGTGCCAAACGTGAAATATGTAGTCAAATCTTGTTTTTGTACACTCTGGAAATGTGAACATTTGTGGATCCTATTGGTTCTGGTAAATAAGTGTTGGCACTAAATAAATCCTGTACAGGGGCGTCCCGAGGCTGGGTGACACCCGGAGCGGTAACCAAGTGTCACCCCACCAAGACGTCTCTGCGCATGATGACGTCATAGCGCGTACGCGGCAGTATTCTGATACCTGCCGGGGAGAGGAGGGGACAGTTACCCGGCGGGATAAGGTATGCCGCCGGGTCCCCTCCTCTCTCCCGATACTGTCGGGCGTTCGGTCCATGACCGACTTTTCAGAGGGGGGGGGTGACACCAAAATGACCGAGTCATTTTGGTGTCACCCGGGTGCGGGCCGCACCCCCCTTGTGACGCCACTGATCCTGTATAATAAATTTAATAAAAATAAACATGGCTTCACCTAAACCTGAAAAATCTGTGGTTTCTTAAAGCAGTAATCTGTTTAAGGTTTGAAGTTGAACTAATCCTGCAATTTAAAAAACATTGGTAGAAGACAGTTATTGCGGAAGAGACCCCATATGTCTCTACTGGCATAATATTTTTTTTTCCTGGCTGCTAGCAGTTTTTATGAATTGTACACTGACAGCCACACGAGCAGCTTAGTGTACAACCCCAGCAACTGGGTTCATTGTTAAAGAGCATCAATGAAAGTTTCTGGTCATGTGCAGCAATCAAAGCAGGAATATATACAGCACAGCACTTACATCCAAAAGTTTAAGTGGAAAGGGATTACAAACCTTATACTGTAATAGCTCCAGTGCTTTCACTTTTGTGAATGAACTCTTTTCATGCTGGACTGCCGTTTGAGTTTCCTTCAGTTCTTTCTTCTTCTTCTTCCTAATAGATGCCTCCTCTTCTTCATGGAAGGTCTATTTTATATCAAATAATGCATTAGCTCATAAATATGGAAATTAACAGTGCAATGATTTTTTTTTTTTACCCTATAGTGCCATGTGCCTTACGTATCTGTCTTGTGGGAAGTCACACACCAATACAGTTTTGGGATGAATGCAAAGGTTTAAACGAGGAAACAGTTACCAAGTAACAATTTCCAGGAAGCTTTCAGGACAAGAGATACAGTGGTACCTCGGTTCACGAATGGGAAGTTCGGCAACATTTTGCTTCCGTTCGTGAACTCCGCATCGGGTAACGAACACAACTGCAGCCATCTTCCCTGCTCTGACACATGGTCGTGGCTTCCGCTAGTCGAGATCGCGGTCTGATCCGCGACCAGAATTGGAACGAATTAAGTTTGTGAACCGAGGTACCACTGTATATAGACACACACACTCTGTTACTGAAAGGTACACTTTAAAACACACTTCGTTAAAGAGCTGAGCACTAAGTTGCGCCACGCTGTCAACAGTAAGTGCTAGGGGAAAAAAACTAATGAATACTCACTTACTTTCCTCCCATGAATACTTTACAGGCCATCGATGCTCAGCAAAATGTCACGGATATCAGAAATCACCATGGACATCAGTGACAATTATGATGAGCAAGTATGCTCATGATGGACTGAAGAGGTAGATTTTACTACCTTGTATTTATGAGAATCAGCCCTATAAATATAATCTCCTGCTTAGCTTTATAAATCAAATAATAGAACACAATAGCAGGATATCTTCATACTAAACTAACACTATAAAGACCTTTTTTTCTCCCAAAATATTGTTTAAAGTAATTCTAGTGGAAGCACTACTCCTAGAATGAGATCCTAATAGGTTGGACTTGATGGACTAATGTCTTTATTCAACCTCAAATACTATGTAAGCACACGGCAGGGACTTACAGAAAACAAGTTGTCATCCTCTCTAGGCCTCTTTTTAATGTCCGTTTCCTTAGACGTCTTCACGGTCCCCCCACGGGGAAAACACTCCTCCATTTCCTTTCTTTCTGGGTATCTGTATGAATAACAAAACAATTGTTAGAGTCAGATGGCAAGTACTTAGGCCTCATTCACACTGCCGCACGTATACGCGCGTACGTGCGTGCGTATTGTACCATATGCAACCTATGCAAATAAATGGCTCCATACGCACAGCCGCATATAGAGCCGTATATTTGCGTAGCGTATATATGTGCAAAAACAGGATGGTACAGAGATGCGTCCGGGCAGCGTATCTCTGCGTATTTACGTGCATATACGCGCGTACAGCACATTAAAAATTCCATTACGAGTGATGCATTCTGGGATTGCATATAGTGCACACATATACGCTCGTATATACGCAATGTACAATTTTTCTTGCGTTGTGTGGGAATGAGGCCTTAGCCCTCGTTCACACCTAGGCGTATTGCATATGCGCGACCGTCGCGCGTTTTTTTACCGCGATTTGCGGTAAAAAAGGCGCGCGACAAACGCGCGTTTCCAAAGGCTACTTGGCTGTATCCCAATGGAAACGCACAACAAAACGGCCCAAAGTAGTACCTGTACCTTTTCAGGCGTGGGCCGTTTTGTAGCGCGTTAGGGACGGGCGGAAATACGCCAAGGTGGGAACGAGACCATTGAATAAAATGGGATTTATATTTTTGAGCGTTTTGTAGAGCGTTTGTCGAGCGTAGAACGCGCTACAAAACGTTCCGGTGTGAACGAGGGCTTAGCCCTTGTTCACACCTAGGCGTATTGCAAAAGCGCGACCGTCGCGCGATTCCGAAGGCTACTTGGCTGTATTCCAATGGAAAACGCCCTACAAAACGGCCCAAAGTAGTACCTGTACCTTTTCAGGCGTGGGCCGTTTTGTAGCGCGTTAGGGACGGGCGGAAATACGCCAAGGTGGGAACGAGACCATTGAATAAAATGGGATTTATATTTTTGAGCGTTTTGTAGAGCGTTCTTCGAGCGTAGAACGCGCTACAAAACGTTCAGGTGTGAACGAGGGCTTAAGCTCAAACATGGTTCTTGACTGCAGGAAATCATTCCTAAACAGAAAGATTGTCAAAATAAATGGGCTGCCTTGTTTGTAAACATGGGTCTGTTTATAATCAGCTTCAGACACAAATAAATTACCAACAAAACACCACAAGATATCTGCATGTCATATCCATAGGACAATCTGTTCACTAGTTAAAAGTGACTGTCATTACCAAACATAATTGGAAACAGGCATTCCTGGAAAAGAAGTCAATACTTACCTTCCTGCTGCCAGAACACCGTTCTGTTCATGAAAAATCTGCTTGCCTAAGTCCACAGGTAATCAGACACTTCCTCGAATGTCGAATTACTGCATCCAACGCAGTGCAAAAGAATGGTCTTTAGATACACTTCACTTAAAGTAACCCGAATAGACAGGGAGCTACTGCTGACCACCATCAAAAAAAAGATAGTTGCCGGGTTGTTTTGCTGATCCAATAGTGACTGAAGCACGGACTCAGAACAAATGTGAAGATTCAAAAATAAGAGAAAAGTCAGAAGTACATATTTGAAAAAAAGTAACACAACCAGAGGATCAGCACAAGCGGCAGGACACTGGAATAATCATAAGAGGACCACAATGGGCACCTCCATGTACCTCAGCAACTAAAAGTGTAGGCAGCAAATTTTATATATTTTTTGTCCGTCCATTTTGGCAATCCTGAATGAGACGGATCAGAAGTAATTAGATGTAAAGTGTCACATGGGTCTTGTTAGGTCAGTTAATTGAACGGACACAGATGTCACAAAAGTGACTTCCCTTCCATGGTGCACTGATGCTCACTGATCTCCTGCAAATCGTAACGGACTGTCGCAGAAGTATCCTGTGCGGAGTAACTTGCTCTCTCTTTCTGCATGACCAATCACATTCTAAATTCCAAGGAACTTATGATTCTGATTGGTGGTTGAGAGAAAGTTCTTTGCGCTGTCATTCCTATATCTTGCAGACTTTGTGTGCGAGAGGTGCTCCAGCATTACCAGCATGTATGTTCCAAAATCACCACATTACCGAAGTGTGGGGACTGGTGCATATGAATATAAAAACATGAACAGCTTTGCTATGGCCCCTGTATAGAGCTCATGGTTTAACCTGCGGTATGGACTTGTGTACCTTTTCAAGTATTGGTAATCTGCTGACTTAATGAATAAAAATACCAAAATAAAATTATTACAATTTGGAAAGCTGAGATTGGTTGCTATGGATGGCAATAGCTTATTCCACTAAATTATAACGCTGGCCATCAATCTACCATACACTTCCTGTTGGGGAAGGGAGGAAGTGATGGCAGCACTTGCACACTATTCTCACCCTAGGTGACACGAATGAAGCGGACCGTACTCTTCCCCGTCACTGTCCGGTTCCCTCACAGATACACACAGCGATCATACCCACGTGTTGAAGCCTGGCACTTCACCCGGAAGTACAATCTACGGTGTTTCTACGTAACAGGAACTTCCTGTCACGAGGGTGCGTCTTTCCAGCGACCTTCTCAGACTCGGATAGCAATGAAAGGATTTCAGCCAATAACAGCCCAGAACGGTATGACAGGCAGCTAGGACAACCAATGAGAGGCAGCGGGGTCTTGAAAGCCGGAGGCCGGGACAGCAGGCGCAGTAGTCACTGGTGAAGGGCACGGGTCGTATTGCTGTACGGGAAAAGAAGTGAGTAGTCGGCTGAATGGGGTCGTGTGTGTGCAGGGCGGTCTGACAGTCATGGACGGGGAGGAGGGTCGGGTTTACGTTGATCAGCTCTGCTATTCCTCAGTATGCACGGCCAGCCTTGGCCTGTTCCTGTGTGTACTCTGATAGTGTAAAGGCAAGGTCCGCTCCCTAGCTGGGATATTCAATGGTGATTGATATCATCTTCCTGTAATTCCTGGGGAAGAGAACCAGCATTCTAAACCATCAGGGCCCCATTGCTGCAATCTCACCCCATGAGCATGCTGACAGGAGAAGAGCAAGGCGATGTGTGCTATATTGCTGCTTTCTTTTTAATTTGCTGGAAAAAAATCTATTAAAAAAAACCTGACTTAGCTGTTCCTATTTATATGAGGGGGCTGGGAAGTTGTTTTTACCATAATTAACCCTGACTGCACTGTGCTGGCAGATTTCATGAGCTGTGCATACTGTCTGGTTAACGATATCGAGGTTTAGGTGGTTGAACGGTAATGTACTATTAAAAATATATTGTCCCTGAATGTCCTCCTAGTGTATTGTTATAGCAGGGGTAGGCAGCCTCAGCTCTCTTCCTGCAAACTACAAATTCCATCATGCACCTGTCTCTGGGAGTCGTGCCTGTCAATCTTGCAATGCCTCATGGGACTTGCAGTTCCACAGCGGCTGGAGTGCCAAGGTGTCCTTTTTTTTGGCTTTGGCCAATGGTCCAGCCTGAACACCCAATAGCCCATAGGGTCCCCACTTCTGAAAGGGTTGACACCAGCCCTGGGCCTGCTGTAGTCTGCAACCATGTGGTTCAGTCTGGGAGTGTTGCCTGCAGTCAGGCCTGGCCCCTGTGGTTTAAAAATCAGAAGCACATTGGTCATCAGCGTGAATCTACCACTATCAGGGCATGCAACAATGAGATTCTTCTGCAGCACACCTCTGTAAATGTTGCCTTTTTAGGCTGCCCTGGGAGGGTAGCGGTAGATTACCCGGGTATCGGAGATCTAATCGGGTGACTACCCAATAGTAGTCACTCTTTGATAACTCATATCCTGGGGTCAACTCTCTTCCCCCTGTGGCAGGGTGAGCAACCTATGGCTGTAGAGTTTCCCCCTGCAGCTACGCCTCTAGTATCCTGACTCCATAATAAAAAATGGATGCTGAGGGCCCTGAAGGGGAAAGTTTATGCTGGCAAAGAGGAGGAATTGCAGCCATAAATGGTTCTCTGCTGAGTGCAGCCCAACCACAGCACTAATAAGATACATATGAAAATAATAATCTGGGACAACCCAGGTCAGGAAAATTCCACTCAATGTCAGGGGTCACAGTGCAAACAGCTCGGACAAAGTGCAGCTCAGACCGATGTACTTGGGGGTGATCATACTGTAGGGTTTTATGGCAGCAGACTAGCTGCACTGCCCAGCCACTGTGCAACATTTGTGGCTATTTTCTCTCTTTTTATTTCCAGATAAGTGGCCTTGTCTCTCCCTCGTACATTGTGGCGTAACCAAGCTGCTTGCATACTGTCCAGCCTCTTTACAATATTTGTGGCTATTTTCTCCTTTTATTTCCAGATAAAAGTGGCCTTGTCTCACACTCGAAAGGTCTCCACACACCTTGCGATAAACGCGGGAAATCCCGCGATCGTACGATTATCTTAAGGTGTGTGGAAGCCGTGCGACCTCTACTACTGTAAGGTCACACGACTTTTAACTTACGAACATGTTCAAAAAAACCCGTCGAGCATCGTACCATGTTCGGCGGTTGTGTAGCATGTTCGTAAGATAAAAGGCGGACGAGCCGCTGTGCGCAAGCGCACACTGCCGTTCGGGATTGCGGTCATCGGAAGCTCGCCCCTCAGGGGGCGTGGCTTGCGATCATCGAATTCTCTCCCTCGTACATTGTGGCGTAACCAAGCTGCTTGCATAATGTCCAGCCTCTGTACAATATTTGTAGCCATTGTCTCTCAGATAACACAAAAAAAAGTAACTGACAACAAATGATAGTGGTAGGTAAACTGTCGTGCCCGGTGGTCAGTTTGTATAAAGTTCAGGGCTGTTTTTCTTTAAGAGTAAACTTTTGTGAAGCTTTAAGATGTGATGTGGATGTTACTTCCACAGGTCAGCTCAGGCCCATTACCATTTGCTGTAAAAACCAGTGTTGCAGCCAAAATATGATCTATTTAAGATGAATGTAAAAGTTAAAATGACACATCCAAAATCTGTGATGGCAGAATATGGTGTCACTGCCGCTGTCCATGACGATCGTGCTATTCCATAACAGCGCATAGAGTTTAAAGGGATCTCCCAAGCATGGAATTTTAAAGGAATGGTGTTTTTTTGCAGGTCACCCTCAAAGTTGCCTTTGAAGCCACGTTCTGGGCAGAATGGTAATTTGCACACTGCACTGGGTGTGTTCTAACGCTGTGTGCAGAGGGCGGCTGCGAAGTATAGAAATCTTAGCTTGCAGCATGCTGTCTCCTACACACAGCCCCCAGCTTCTGGGCCCTGAAGAGGGGGAGAGCTGCAATCCAAGCTGTACAGCACTCCGGTCACATCACCGCCCCTGTTCACTATCCACCATTCACAGAAAGTCTTGTATTCTTTTTTTAAAAAATATTAAAGCTCTGCAATTGGAGGAGGAGAGATGATGTCACATCTCCGCTCCCTCCCAGAATTGAATGAACCTCCTGCGAATGGAAACAAGGTAGAATCACTTATCCACCAGTGTGTTTTAACTGATTTTACTTCTGAATCCTGGAAGTTAAACATGCATTTTCACACAACAAAGACCCCTAACCTTTTTCCACCCTTTTAGGGAATAAAACATGGCAGGACACGAATCTGGAAACTACCACTTCACCGGCATAAAGAAATACTTCAATTCCTACACTATGCTTGGCCGGAGGAATGTAAGTAGCAAAGTAAAAAATCAATAATGGCCGCAGGAACTTGTTTATCAGCCTTGTTTGACATGCTATTTTTCTTTCAGTGTGTGCTAGCCACATATGGAGCAATAGCTGCAATTGTCCTCTTCTTTAAATTAAAGCCAAAGAAGCAAAAGGCCCTAACAGAGCAATAAGGTAAGTGACTTTGGTGCAACATGTTATGAATTGGTCTCAATTTCCTCTTACCTTGTATATGGAAGGGACTGAATGGTGCCCATTGCAGCATTGTATACTGTATATGGAAGGGACTGAACGGTGCCCATTGCAGCCTCATATACTGTATATGGAAGGGACTGAATGGTGCCCATTGCAGCCTTGTATAATGTATATGGAAGGGACTGAATGGTGCCCATTGCAGCACTATATACTGTATATGGGACTGAATGGTGCCCATTGCAGCCTCATATACTGTATATGGAAGGGACTGAATGGTGCCCAATGCAGCCTTATGTATATGGAAGGGACTGAATGGTGCCCAATGCAGCCTCATATACTGTATATGGAAGGGACTGAATGGTGCCCATTGCAGCCTTGTATATGGAAGGGACTGAATGGTGCCCATTGCAGCCTTATATACTGTATATGGAAGGGACTGAATGGTGCCCATTGCAGCATTATATACTGTATATGGAAGGGACTGAATGATGCCCATTGCAGCACTATATACTGTATATACTATTGACCCTCTATGGTCTTTGCATGTAGTAAGGGGCAGTATGTTCTACAATGTGTGGTTGGAAGCAATTGGGCCCCTGACTCTCCTATGAGCTCTCATAGCTCATTTAGACAATTGCCCCCCCCCCCCCCCCCCCTTCCCTTTCAACAGCCACCGC